GGGACTCGATCCCAGGACTCTGGGATCATGACCTGAGCCGAAGGCAGTCGCTTCACCAACTGAGCCACCCAGGCGCCCTCGTGGGGTAGTATTTCTTGCAGCTCAGTAGCACTCACGTGGCGCTTAGAAATCTCTGAGATCTAATCTGAGTAGAGGTCCCAGTCTCTGCCCGTGACTAGTTGTATCATCAACCTGCAAAAATCCAATCTTGGCACTTGCTGAGCTTTTCGTTCTATGAGAATTTCTGCCATTGGCCTTGGGGACAGCTAGGCAAATACTCTATTTCTTCTGCCTCTCTCTCTCTCTTTCTGTCTAAAGAGGTCGAGATTATGTTTTTACTTTGCTGAATGTAGGAACAAATCCAACGCCATCAGCAAGTGCTGTCTATCACCTCCCACGCCTGGGACCAGAAATCAACCAGACCTTGGCAGAGCCAGAAGCTTTGGGTTCTCACTGCCAAGCCCAGGGATATCAGGGACTCAAGCATAGGAAGGAAGACGTGCAATGGATGGAGCCAGAAAGGAGGATTTCCACTTCAGCATTGCCCTAAATAATGAACCACCACCACTGTTTTTTTTCAGAGAGAAAGGCGTGGTAATAATCATAATGATATTAGACTAGAGCTACTGCTTGATTTGGCACGACCAATGTCTATGGGTGGCATATGGAGTTTCCTTTTGGGTAACAGTCTGGAACCTAACTGAAATTCATTCAAACTTCCCTAAGTTTATCTGAAAAGGCATTTTAGCCTTCTTGCTAAAGGGTGTAAGATTAGTCAAAATGGCTGTTAAGCCAATCCTCCAACTGAAGCTTCTAGCTATCCTAATTATTTCGTGTCTATGTTCCCCTCTCTGTGGCAATGAGGCTGTCTCTTGCTTTTCCCAAGAGACCCTATTGTACCATTCTCATCCTCTGTAATGTTTATAATTAAAGGAAGAGGGAAACTTTGTCATGCCACGGCATTCTACAGAACTGAGGGGAAAGAGTTTGCCTGTCTGTTTAAACGTCTATCAGAATCCTTATGGAAAACTATACTCATATATTATTTGTTTGTGGTGTTTGTTTTTTATGATTTTAGAAACAACTCATGCTCATTGTGGAAAACATGAAAATATGGAATAGTATAAAAAATAACGGGGTTCACATTTAATATTTTAGGGAAACATGAATTTTGTTTTTATAAATTTGTTAACAAGATTAATATGCTAGAGCTCTACGTGGAAGATATAAAAGTAGTAACACATACGTAGTCAAAGATATTTTTAATTGTGACATTGATGGGGATATCACAAATTCATCTTTCAGCTCTTCTTGGGTTCTGGTTGAAAATTAAGCCCTAATTCACTACAGCATCTGTTGAATGTAATGGATGGACTTCTCTCCAATGCATCTAGAACGATCCTTTTCTGTAAGGACTTAATTCTCTTGCAGAACTCTGGCCAAGAGAGCCTGAAACAGACCATCTCTGTCCTGTTAGAGCAGGAAAGAATTTCCCTACTTCTAGAAAGGCTGTTCTTTCTTTCCTTCCTTCCTCTTTCTACCTTCCACCTTGGCAGCTCATACCTTGCAGAACAATTGCTTTTTGACTTCCTAACTCATGGTAGGAGAAAACATATTATTTCTATTTCCTGAAGAGTAGATGCTGAGCATGGGCCTCAGAAAAGGAAAAAAAAACCCATGGAATCTTAGGACCGGAAGGGACAGCTCAGCCCCCCACCCAGAGAGCAGGGTCTTCAGTTACTAAAGGATAGGCCTAAGTAAGTGTGTGTCAATTTCAGACATAATTTTGTTCAAACTCTCAAATTAGAGGTTTTGGGAAAGCCCAAAAGCTGTCCCATCAGAGACCAGACACTAAGTTAAAAATGAAAAGAATCATTGACTAAATAACTACTGTGTTAATGATCACTGGATCAATCACTCAATAAAAAGGAAATGATTGGAAGCTAACTGAAGGTATTGGGAAGAACTTGACATAAAAGTTCCATCAGGGACAGGACAATGGTGCCCACCTCAAGGCTTTTCATTAATAACTAAGTACCACTTTAGAGAACTACTTGAAGTCAGTGACAAGCTCTGGATTATACCATTTCCCATAGTTAGCAACCAGTGAGTGGGAAGTTCACTTAGGAATTTTGAATTGAAAAGCATCAGACGGGTTCACTTTACTAGTTGAAACTGACACTGGCTGAAGGAAAATAAAAACCACTGCAATATTATTTGTTAAATAACCTAGTGCTAAGACCTATAGATTAGAAAAGGGAAATTTTAAGGAAGATATTTTCATTTTAAGTGTGGCTGCATTTTCATGGAAAATGGGAAGTGAATTCATAGAGAACATATTTCCATCTTTCCGGTGCAAGAATTAATTTTAAAGGGCAAAGAAGGGAGCTTCTCATTTCAGAAATTAACGTCTTTGTCTTTTCCAATCATACCAAATGTGGGACAGTCCAGAGGTACTCAATGTGAAGCCAGCTGATATTTGGGGGGACTTCTTGCAAGTCTAGTTAGTACCTCTCAACAGTTTGCTTATTTAGAGCCAAGTGCTAGTTCTATAAATTTCCTCTCCCTGGATTTTTCCATTGTTTTCTGGGCAATTACTCTGAGCGACAGCCTCCTCATCTGGTCCTTTCAGCTCCTGGAAACCAGACTTAATTAACATGGTTAAAACTCCCCAAGCCTGCAGCCATCTTTCCAAAGCAATGGATTCCAACTTGATGAGCTCCTTTCCAGGCTCATACATAATTTTAACTCTCCCAGTAGCACATTCATTGCTCACTCATAAATTTCAAAATGAAGATAAATAGATATAGCATCACTATTTTGTGATGGCTAGAGGTCGACAACCAGATGCACACAGACCACACTGAGCTCTTGTAAAGGACATTTTTAACATATACGGCTTTATCCCTTCTCTGAAAACAAATGTCAACGCACACAGAATACAAATGGATCTTGACGAACACCTTGGTTTGAGCAACTTGGAGCTCTTTCTTTTAAAGGCTCAATAAATCAAAACCAATATTGCAGAAAAGCACATTTCTTGGGAATTTTGAGAGAGGAAAACAAATGGATAGGTTTAGGATTATGTCCTAAGGAAGTTTAAATCAAGAGACACTTGAAGTCACACAGGCATAAGTATGTGTTGAATTACCTACCTATCCAAGCTCCCAACTCTGGCGACTAGATACAGCAGACTCCCAACGGCAAGGCTTCCCAGCACCAGGAGCTTCTGTCTCAGCCACGCCTGCTGTTTGAATAGCATGGCCCTCCATCAACCTTCGGGACTTCTGCAGCCTGAGAGACAGGGAGAGAAGGGGACTCATCAGCAGGCGTCTCTAATAGGCTCTGTGGTTTGTCACAAAGCCACAGAGGGGGAGTCCAGGCGATTAAGTGATACTTCATGGAGAAAAGATCCCATACTGACCTTGACAATGTTCAGGGTGTAACAGCTATTTACCCAAACTTGCCTTCCTTTTCCTGGCCCATGTTATAAGATCCAATACTAAACTAGGGGGAAGCTCCTAACTAGACAGAACCTGCTGGGCAATTGTCAGAGTGAACTAATGCATATCTTATAACATATATATATACCCTGTGTGTGTACGTACATATATTTGTTGTTACTGTTAGTCATTCAAAGAACACTGATAAAATGAGCAGCTGGGTAACCTGAGGTTTGCCAGTAGGGCAAATAATAAACTGAAGGTTCTGCTCCAGAATAACCAGACAAATGTAGAAATTCCTTTTCAGTAAGTGATCATTTGGGGCATAGCAATGACATATTTTACTTGCATGTTTTTTTGTTTTGTTTTGTTCTAATTGTGAAGGGGGTGAGATCAAAAGCTAGTTCTTTACTCCCCGAGGTCATCAGTGGCAACTATCAGGACCTCAGATATTGGAGGACAGTGGCTCCAAGTAACCTGATGTTGCCCTTCGCCTCCTCTGCCCGGTCCTGGATTGGACTGACTGAGGTTTGGAAACATGCTCAGACTAGATTCCCCTGCTGTGTGACCCCCTTCTGGCTCTCAATGAATTCACACAGATTTGGTGATATGGGTCTCATTCTTCTATCATGACAGAAGCTTGCCGGGAAGCTTTGTACTCTTATTCCTGAAATAAGGCTGGTTGAGGAGTGTAAGGCTTTACTAGTGCTATTATTAAATTTGGGGGGAAAATGCAAGCTTTCAATTCAGCCTTTCTTATTAAAAGTAAATCCAATCCCCCTTTCAAGATAAGATGGTTTGTTTCTTATTGAAACTCAAAATAGTAACCCGAGAAGAGGGACTCCAGCAGTGGGCCATGGGTAGAAATTGTTTTCTTGCAATGGTATTTCCATGTTTGCTATGTGGAAAGGGATATACCAGGACTGATCGACTGGTCTATTCATTTGCTTGTCAAGAGATTACTGAGCACCAAGAACATTTCCAGCTATTCTATTAGGTTTATGGAGGATTCCAAAAAAGATACTGAAAGAGTTTTAGCCCTTGAAAAACGAATAAGGGGAGAAGTAATTGCAAAACAACCAGAGAATGCAACCTAATAATAATGTATAAATAAATGTTGAGGAAAAAAATGAAGAAACGGTCAGGGATGTGAGCTCCATGGGAATGCTTTTTCTGTGGAATGTAGTACATGACCTGGTGAGGAGGGTTTAGGAAGAAATCCCAAAGGAGAGAGGTCAGAGCAGTATTAATCCAACACACAGTCAACAAATATTTATGGAACATGCCTTATATGCTAGATTCTCTACCAGGTGCTAAAGAGACAGTGGCCAACTGGGGGTCTGTGGTCTAGTGGAGAAGACAGATATTAAACCAGTAAACATAGGATTCACATATACTTACAAATTGTAAGGAAAATTACAGGATACAGTGAGAAAGAATAACGGGAGGAAGCTATTTAGTCCTTCCTGAAGGAGTGACACTTGGTCTGACAGCTGAGGATGAGAAGCAAGGAGGACAGGACTAGGGCAGAGTGGGTTTCAGGCAGAGGAACCCCCATGCACAAAAATACCGAGGGGGAAGAAGGCTTGGCTGGTTTGAGAAGCGAAGGAAGTCTGGCATGGCTGGACACAGGCATTGAGGGGGACAGAGAAAAGGCTAGGAGCCAAAGCAGAGAGGAGGCAATAGGAAATGGGTCTTTGCAGGCACTGGGTGAGCCTGTGGTTCTGACTGAGCACATCTTGCATTGTGTGTAGGTAAAATGGGGAAGAGAAGGAAAAGAGGTATTTCAGGAAATTCTCAGAAAACCCTAGGAAATTATTGTGTGATTCAGGGCTGCCCCGACAGAGTCCATTTTGTGTGTCTCAAGGTTAATGTCTAATGTCGAAGTCCACAGTTGGAGCCACAGGCCTCTCGCACAGGGCTCTGATCCCTGTTGAAATGCAAATACTGCAGCAATAGGGTGGAGAAAAGAAAGCTGTGCTGAAGTCCCCTAATCACAGTCGCCTCTTAGTAGCTCTGTGATCTTCGGTGTGGCTGCCCAGATTCTCCGGGCCTCTCTTTCTCTATCTATAAAGTGGGGACAGTCTCTGACCTCCCTACTCCGTAGGCCCACAGTGAGAATGAAGTAAGGTTTCTACTAGGAACATCACTCGACACAGATTTATTGATATGATGCTAACATAGGGATTATATGTCATCTTTTGTTAATGTGAATGAATTCCATGTGTATTCACAGAGTGAGAGAGCAAGAGCTATTATGTAGTTGAAGAGGGCCAGCTACAAATGGGACAGATGAGAAGAGTCAAGGTAGAGGTGCCTGGGTGGCTCAGTCGTTAAGCGTCTGCCTTCGGCTCAGGTCATGATCCCAGGGTTCTGGGATGGAGCCCCGCATCAGGCTCCCCACTCGGTGGGAAGCCTGCTTCTCCCTCTCCCACTCCCCTTGCTTGTGTTCCCTTTCTTGCTGTCTCTCTCTGTCAAATAAATAAAATCTTAAAAAAAAAAAAGAGTCAAGGTAAATGAGCTTGTCCCATGGCCTTAGGGAGGGTCAGCAGCCTCATACAGAGGAGCAACCTGGAGGGAGGCTGGGGAAGTCACCTGGCCTCCTCCACCATCGAAACGGAGGGCCCACACTCTGCTGCTTCAGACTCTACCACACAGTGCTTTGTCCACTTTCCCCAGCTCACTGGCGCCCTGCTCTGTCTCTAGCTATAGGTCACTCTCTGTAAGGCCGGGGCCACATCCCAGCTCCCGGAGGGAAGGCCTCTTGGGCTGATGGCCCAATACAGTCATCTCCAACCGACCGCCTCTGCGTTCCTGCGGTCTGTGTGGTCACGGGCGCGGTGAGGCCCTCCATTGCTGTAAGTGCTGGATTGGTGCCAGCAGCTGCCTTCGTGCGTGGGAATCACCACAGCTCCCAGCTATGGGCTAACCCTGCTCGCTGGCTCAGAACAGAAAGCTACCTGAAGGGTGTGAGCCCAGAATCTCTCTGCTTGTTGCATAGGCTCGGGGTTCTCTATTGTGAGCTTGCAGAAACTTTAGAAAACGCACACCTACCACCACCTTCAGAGATTCCAATTTAATGGGTCTGAATTAATCTTGCATCGTGGTTTGTTTTTGTTTTTGTTTTTGTGTAGTGAATGACACATAAACCTTAGTCATAGTCATTTTCTACTGTCTTTTTTTTTTTTTTCCTTGAGTCACCAAGTTCAGTAAACTCTTTCTCCTTAATTTCTTCTTGCCTTGTGTTGTGGAGGCACCTAATGCCTCCTTTATTTCTTAACATTTGGGCATGTTCTCCTTGTGCATTTCCTATGGCCTGTATAGTCTGATTATTCTTCCTCATACAAGATATTCTGTCCCTCATCCGTTTTTTGGTTATTTGCTGGATTAAGTCTGATCTCTTCTTGAAAGTATGGGCCCTTCCCTCCGAGGGCCCAGCTTGGACAGTCAGCCTCCCTTCTTGTTACTCCCCAACACCAGCCTCTGTGCCCTTCTGGTCAGCTGCTTTACTGCTTCTCATACCTCCTCACTCTCATCTCTATGCTTCCACCAGTTTCCTCACTGGCCCAGAATGGCTTTCCTGCATTTCCTCCTTCAAGACTCCTGGATCCTGTTAATAACTTCCTGGAGAGGGTGATCCTGGTGGATGGGCAATTTGGGGGGAAATCCCAATATACTGCCCATTAGTGGGTGGGAGTGGGTCAGGTCCATTGTGTAGATAATTACAGGAATAAAGGGTGATCACTGGGCTTAGGGATAACATGGGGAAGACATTTGCATGTAGGGGAAAAATGACCAGGGCTATGAAGGCTACGGAGGAAACAGCCGAGATTTAGAAGATATCACAACAAAGCTATCGAACTTCTGCTGTGATGCACATGCCATCTGGTAAACAGTAGGTTATGAAACCTTACTGAATATGAGGCCACTACTTTTTCCACTGCCACTGGGGATCTTTCACTGTCAAAAGTTCCAATACTCCACCTACAGACCCTCCCTTCATGGTGAGTCCAACGGTCACCATGGAGGTTTTGCTCTGTGGGGTGAGCTGCTACTGTCAGTCCAGCTTCTGTTGGAGATGCCTTAGATAGGCCCACCGGTGGGGTTCTCCTCACGTTTGTTCACACTGCCTCCTCTCCTTATGGCAGGCCCATGGCACTCTCCAAAGCATCCTCATGTCTACCAGGATGCTGAGGAGAACCACAATTTTCATTCAAGGGCTCAGCTAGTATGAACGAGTCGTACGTGGTGAAGTGCAAAGACCACTGGACTGGGAGTCAAAGACCCTGAGTAACATTTTGGTTTGGTTTTATAATGGAAACTCTCTGGATTTTGCTATCCTCATCTGTACAATGAAGATAATAAAGTCTATCTCACAGGGTTATTATGACATGAGCCTTGAGTAAGACAAGTTGGGATAGAACTTATGGATATTTGGGGCATGTTACAAAAATGAAGCATCACAAAAGCTTCAGGAGGCTGATATATTTGTTCTTGCAATGCATTTTCAAGAGGAAGAGACTAAAATAAATGCAGTTCTCATTAATAACATGGACTGTGAAAAATATAAGCCTTTTTTAATATAAATAACTTTTAATGGAAACTACTGTTAGATATTAGAATCCTAACACTATATTCTCTCTTCAAAGTGAGATGGCAAAGCATGGCAAAGCAAAGAATTACCAAAAACGAAGACAAGAAGTTAATACTGTGTTAGGCGGAAATCACTTGGAATTTTTCCGAAACGAAGAGGCCAAGCCAGGAGTTTCTAATAAGTGTCTCTAGGACACAGGTAGTGAAATCTCATTCTGTTTTGTAATCAGTCTCAGACTATATGCTAAGAGACAGTAT